GAGGTAAGGAGCCATGAAGTGAAGTGCTTTGCCTAAAGACCTCTGGCAAACCAGCGGCAGAACTATCCCCGGTTCCCAAAACAATTTTCTTGCTGTGGATCACAGGAATAGAAAGAAATACTTACCTCTGAAATCTGTTTACCTGGTCTCCTGGAGTGACAGTAGGTTATTGTCATATTGGTGGCGTTGGGCTGTGTGAACAAATGTCATTGCTGTTCCTGCCCATGCTATGCCACCTTTCTAGCTACAAAGCAGACTTCGGTTCCTCATGATTGTCAAGTTGGCACCCTTCTGCAACAATAAATATAATATAAAGCAGAAAAAAAGTATTTGAGGCAAAGGAGCCGACTGCAGTAACATGGTAGAAGAAAAGAAACCACATGAAGTGAAATTATTCCTGTGGCTGACAGTAATGGAAACGTACAGTGGAACAGAAGTGTGGAAAATGTTGGCAAAGATGAGGAAAAGAGATCGCTTTTTTATTTAGTTTATTTTCAATAAACTGTAGAACCATTTAAACCAGAAATTCCAGCTAGGAGAAGTTGCAGAGTTACCTGGCATTGTGTTGGGTGATTCTTCTGAATGGGTTTCAGAGCTTCAAATTCTGTGGGGGGGATTATGAGATTTAGCAAGTGTAGAATGTAGGCCTTAGGGTATTCCTGTTAACCATTGTGCAGCCGTGGCTTAAGATATGTTGCAGTATTTTAAGCAAAACTTTTCAATCTGATTGTGCATGTGAACCTGAACTTTTCAAACTGGCAAACGTGGATTTTGAGCTGCATTTACAGCTTGAAGCTACAGAATAAATGTGTATTTCCCGACCCCCCGCCCCAAAAAATCTGAAATCCATATAATTTTTTTTTTTTATTAAAATGGTACTAAAGTGTTTAAATTGGGGAGGGGAAGAAAGAAGATAAATCTGGCAAAGAACATCTTCCTAAGCACAATTGCCAGAGATACAGCTTTGTGGACACACTCATGTGGAATTAAAGGCAGTTTGGGGTGAAACATAAGAAGGAGGCAATCAAAACAGGTATCTTTGGAGCATCCCCTGATCAATGAATTTCTAGTTAGAGGTTTAAGACTTCTGTCCCACAAAGTTAGCTTCATACTCTTGTTCAGCAAAAGAGCTAAGCATGTGGTGTATGTATAGGAACGTTTTCTTAAGTCTAGGAACTCATTTTATACTTCAGAATATTTACTTTAAAAATCACAACCAAAATAATTAACTTTAGCTGTTAGTGTATTTGAAAAGATTACTTATGTGCAACTGTCTGAAAGATCTAAAAATCTTTAGCTTGGGCAGCTGGAGGTCATTTCCGTGTCAGTAACTTTAAGAGATTTTTAAAGTAATTTTCCTGGTTTGCTTTTTAAAATTATTTATTCTTTTTATTTAAAGAAACTTGAAAATAAAAGTAGTTGTTTGAATAAGCTGTCTGATTTAACAGTCCTTTAAAGAGTTCTTCCTTAAGTGACTATTCTGTTGACTAATTTCACAAGCTTAGAGCTGCTCAAACGAGTGCTAGCACTTAGTATGTCCTCCAAGTTCAGTGTTTCTATACAAATATTTTGAGTTCTGGGAAACATGTGTGCTTGCTGTTTGTGCAAGCATCAGTCTTTTAAGTGTCAAATGGTATACTAACCATGAAAACAGTGACCTTATAAAGCTTTATAAAGACTCCTAATTGGAAGTACAGAATCAAGAAAACACCAAACTATTAAGAAGGAGATTGATTATAATCACAAAAGTCTTTATACTGTGGCATCTAAAATATAGAACCAGACTGAAGGAGTCTGGCAGTTTCTTTCAGTGTTATGTACCTATTCTAGAAGGGATAGCAGAGCTTTCTGATAAAACTGGTCAAAATCAGATACTGGATATTCCATTAATATTACCTACTCAAATGACTTTTCAGAAAAAGATGTGGCTGTGGGTTACAATGTTTGACCTTAGCTGCGCTTAATTCAGAACCGTTAGCTTTGGTGGTGGCTGACATTCAGCTAGACTGCAGCTTGAATGGTTTGTCCAGTACCTACCACTGAGTTTGTAATAGACAGTTGAAAACAAAAGTCTAAATAAAATTTTAGTAGTGATCTCACAAGGAGAGCGTATATTGCTGAAAGGGAGTCTGGGAGAGGCTTTTCTTTTGCATGTGCTGTAAACAAAAAATCGGAGGTATAATGTTGCATAAAAGCAAAACTCTAGAGCTGTTTGCTTGATGAGCAACTTTGTAAAACAAATGCATAGTTTCATCATTTTTTTTGGAAGTCTCTCATGTGCCTTTTTAGATCATTCCGTACATCTTGTCTCCTTTTGCTTTTAAAAAATTAAAAGATAATTTCTAAACCAGTCTTGTTATGTAATACGCATACTTCACACGTGCACATACACTTTGAGTTTTTCATGCTTCTAGCTTTATTTAATCACCAAATGTCCCAATTTCCTTGATTCCCTAATATATTTCAGTTTTACAAACCAAATTACACAGTCTTTAGTCTCTGACAGGTTAGATTTTTTAAAAAGAGAACACTGTTTTTGTTGTTGGCAATTGTTTTTACATTCTTTTTTTTAACAAAAAGTGATTAACATGCTTATGTTCAAATCTGTTAGATAACAACAGTTACAAAGGTGAAGATCAGAATTAAGAAGTTTTGGTCTTGAAAATAAGAGTTTGGGGGAGTCAAGAAGGAAAGTTCTAATGAAATCTTTTGGATAAACTTAGCTGGTGCTGTCATGATGCGTTCCAGTTTGTAACAGTTGATGTATACTTGTATATATGTATGCAAAACCCTTTTTGATATAACTTTTAATTACATACTCACTGAAAAGAAAGAAAACCCTGTCTTTTCAATTCAAAAGATGTGAGCACTATCAAATATAAGATTCATTTGTTCATTTTGTATAAGTAAAAAAAATATGAATTTACATTTATTAGAAAACTTCATCCTACATTTACATTCCAAGTTGATAGGAACTGAAATAACATTTTTTTTTAACCTCTTTCTGATTTTCTAGCTCAAATAGAGAGGTTGTCAGAAACCATGGCTGTTTGTGAATGGGTTACTAAGGGTTTGCTAATGCAGGAGAGAAGTAGGAAGGAGGAAAAGAACTGCCTGAGAACAGAAGCTCACATAAGGAATGGAGGTGGAACTGCACTAAAATCCAAACAGATTTCTGATGTGCCAGGAGGTGGAAATACCAAATATCTTGGGTTACAGCCTGTTTAATTACATTCCTGAATAGAGGCTCTACACTGATATATCTGGATGCTGAGCTGTTGTAAGTTCTTGGTGCTGTGGGATTTATCATTCCCCAGGTGTCCATGTGGTGATACTCAGTGAGCTACCTGAGGCATGTGTCTTATGCAGTTCTTGATGGCTGGATAATGGCAAGGCTTAGTTGGCTTGGGTAATCTCTACCCAAGAGAGAGTGATTTATTCATGGATTGCAAGCAAAAGCTACTATAAGCGAAAATAGCCATTTTGTAGCGTTACAAAGAGCAGTCCACCTTACATGGAGATAGTTTAAAATAATAAGTTGTGATTATCAGATAATATATAGTCAATAACAGACTCGCTGTAGTTAATTGGCACAGAGTGTACATCATTAATATAGCATGATTAATATAGCAGCACAAAGTTTTCAGGTCACAAGAAGCTAGGTGTTTTGTTTGTTTGTCCCAGGAGAGGGACAGAAGCAGGTGATAGGCAGTAACTGAGTGAACTGGAAGAGGTGAAAGCAGATGAAACCCACTTATAAATGCACTGTGAGTTTGAGTCTTCATCCAATAGGCACATCGAGTGAGAAAGAAAGCCCAGCAACTAAGCAGCAAGTGAAAGCACATCCATTTCTTTCTTTATTTTTAAATGAGAGGGAACAATCACAAGGCAGTAAGTTATTTCTTTATGGATTTCTTTTTGGAAAAAAATACTATGTTTCCAAAGAAATCACACAAACGGTTAGCATACATGTTGTTATGAAGATAGCTGCTGCAAAAATCTATTTCAAGGAGCTTCTAATCAGTCTTTTTACCAGAATACTATTTGAGCTGGTTTCAGACACTACTTATTTTCTCTGTAGTTTGCAATCCTTCCCTTCTGCATCCAAACTGCTCATAGCAGTCTAATGCCAGATTAGCCCTTAAGGCATCAAAGATATTTGTTTTCCTCCTGAAATGCACAAGCAGGCATTATGTTATACCAAGCTAATTAGTAATAACAAACATAATTTTGCATCCCTGTATAAAGACAGAGGAGAACTAAATCCAGAAACATGACAGGATGTATTTCACTACCTGATGAGTTTTTCTTTTGTCTAATTTTTTGTTGCCCTTTGTTTTGCTTCCTTATGCAGTCAGTATTAGACAAGAAGTTAGAAGAGCTGGAAATTGGTTGAATACTTCTACAATTGATACTGCAGCAATTTTTGTCATTGATTTAAATGGGAGCAAACTCAAGCCTTTGGTATTACTCCTAAGAGTCAAGACTAGAATTTTATTTGGACAGATACTGAACAGGTCTTATGATATATTCTGAAAGGAGAAAGCTCAGGGATTTACAGACATTTTCACTATCTTCAGGCACAGATTTCTCAAGCAGTGCCAGGCAGCAGTATTGCAATGCTCTGACAATATAAACAGTCTCAGGCAGTTGACGGAAAGTAATTTCCATCAGTTGCAGAATGTTTAGAAGTAGCAGCACTGAGATTTTTTTTTAATGCTCTATTTAAATGCTTGATTTCTTAAAAAATGTAAGCAGTATATGCTTACATATCTGAAAATGCCAGTTCACTATTTTTGAAGTATATAAGCTGATACAAGGTTTAAATCACATAAGTGTATATTTTCACCATTCTATCAAAGGATCCTTAGGAACAAGTGAGGAACTACCAGCTCTACAATACTTAAAACTCCTATTTTTATCCAGAGAAGCCAGAAGAGTTGCAATGGTGAAAGCATATCTATAATATATGTCTTTTCCTCTCTTTTTATATCATTTAGATATCAGCATGAATCAGTTCCAAGTCCACTGGTTATTGGAGTCCTGTGCACACAATGACACCAAAGGCCTTGGGAAAGTAACTGAGCTGACTTATGTAAGTCTCCATTCAGCCTTCTGCTTGACTCTGAATAGCTTCTAAGCAGCAAGAAAAAGGATGGTTCTGTAATAACACAGTATGCTTTGTACCATGTTTCATACATAAGTAAGAATGTTTCTTTTTTATGTTCCTCTGGCAAAAGATAAAAATGATGCATCTGGACTGTTTTGAATTTTGGTTTGTGGTTTTGTTTTTTTTTTTAAATCCACACTAGGCTAAAATGCTATTTTTTCGTCAGTGTTATTCAGAAAACAAGAGCAGGCAAACAAACGTCTTAACTAAGTGCTTATATGTTCCTATGGCATATAGAACATGGAGCTTTACCTACAATTAGTACTGTAGGACTCTAGCACAGTACAAATACTGACCAGTAAAAAAAAAAAAAAAAAAGGTTTTCTTTTAGATATGCAAGTGGGTTTCACAACCCTGAGGAGAATAACAGAATAAGAAAAAAGGACTGTAGGTGAAAAATGATTGTCTGGAAGTCAGACAGATATCAGATAAGGAGAAAAGCTCTATGTAAGTACATGTCAGCCCAAATATATATTGCAGTGGCAGTTCTTCGTACTCGATTTGTTGGCAATCTAGTGTTATCCGTCTCTGTAACACGTTATTTGAACAACACAGTAATGTGATTGGTGCATCAGAATTGATTTAGTGGGTTATGGAGAATGGAAGAAATCACAAGTCACCTTTCCTTCTTAACCTGACCTATATTACTGGATCAATTCAGTGGAGTTAATGGCATGTAAAAGTAGAGTAAATCAAAAGACATCACTTCTCATACAGAAGGATGTTAGCTTGTGAGATTTACTGCTACATGGGGTCAGCAAAGCAAATATTAGAGGTGGATTGAAAAAATGATTGTGACATAATGTTATGATCAGTCCCAATATTTCAAGTTATGCACATTGAAGACAGGTGAAGGGTAACATTTATGAAGTTTATTTCCACTAGAGGTCAGGAAAGACTCTTTGTACATCTGCCCAAATGCATTGTGGGATTGGTTCATTTATGTCTTCTCAATCATATTACGGTAATTGGTGCAGTCTGCTTTGGGAAACTCTGTGTTTCTTTTGAGGAATAAAATAATTACAAGCAAACAGAAGAAGGTGGATGCTACAAAAGATTTGGTACTGGATATGATAGATCAAGGTGGATGAAGGCCTTAAATTTCCAGTGTTGAGCATTTAGGCCCTGTCACAATAAATAAAAAGCAGTCCTGTCACAATTTCAAGGAGGCATCTAGCCTGTTAGAGCACTCTCCTGGCAGGTGGAAGGTGGGGAGTCAAGTCTGTTCTCAGTCCAATCTCTATGTCCCGTCAAAAATGACCTTCCAAGAAAAGGTTAGACTAATCCAATTTGGGATTAGAAAAAAGGGGAAGTTGTGCAGAAGACCATTGGAAATTAGTGTTTCTGAAGGGAAATAAAGATCTAAAAGGCAGTGAAAGACTTTTGACCTTAGCCAGTAAGGCACTGTTGGACATCTTCACAGAAAAAAAAAAATCCAAACATTTTTCTCTCATAAATGATTTGTGCTAAAGCTTTCAGGCTGTGATTTTCAAAGTACCTTAGACAGCCATAAGAATTTAGCAGGACGCTTACACTTTGTGTAAAGTTTGCTTCTCCAGTCATTGTCTTTAAACAGACACTTGTGCTTTGTAGTTCAGCTGCGGAGCTTTTCTCCCTGATAAGAAGGTAGAAGTAGTTAATGTACTAAAGCAGAAAAAAATGGATCCCTAATGCCATGCTGGACTTTGAATGCACTTTTAAAAAGTTAAATGTGGATGAAGCCTGTCATTTACAGCAGCTTAACTCAGCTTTCTTACATTTATTTAATTCGATTAGCATTTACATCCTCACATTGCTACTCCCACTGCCATCATGTCAGAGAGACTGTTCTAAATGTTAGAAGCCAGTTGCTTTGATGCAGCGTGGCGAAGCAACTGTGCAGAATTGAAGGACATATCCAAATACCATGCTAATATATTTTACTACTGAAAATAATCATAACATAGGCAATGTTTGCTTTGTTCTCTGAGTAAAAGCCATGTTGGCATCTGTTAAGCACATCAGGAAAATATTTTATTGGAGAAAACTTTTCATCTTCTGCCAACCTTATTTTTCAGTTTCTTTTTTCTAGAGATCTATTTGCAGCATGTGATCTTTCTGTTTTTCTTGTTGTAGGAAAACTACATGATTCTGAAGGACTTGTCATTTTCATGCAAATATAAAGTAACTGTTTTGCCTGCAAAATCTAAAGGTCGTTTTAAGGCTGAGAGTATTTTCTTTGTTACCCCACCTTGCTCTGCATTTAAAGAAAAAAACAACAAGCACATTAATTGTCCCGCTGAAGGAGGTAAGGCATGATCTGGAGCCAAATAGTTTCAAATGCATTTATAATCACCAAAAAAAAAAAAAAAAAAAAAGTCTTTAAAAGCAATTTTAAAATGGGAAATAAAAGATTCAGAACAAATAATAATATGACTAATGCTTATGTGAAAAATCAACTAAAATATAGAGCAGTATAGATTTTGGCTAGTATATTACCATTTTGTCAGTTAAGTGATAATTTTAGTGGCCTGTTGCTAAACACATGGTCACATTTGTTATTACACAGTTTTTTTATTTTTGTAAGGAGGAAGTTTCCCAGTTATATTTATTATAATGATGGCTGATAACTATAAACATAATTATGCTGGTATGACCCATCTTTTGAATGTTTCGCTACTGATGCAAACTGCTTTTTCAGTTTGGTTTTATTTAGGTTAATTCTGCTTTCAAATAACGAAGGCACTTGTACCTTTTATAGCCCTGCCACAGTAGGTACAGTTAGAGGGTTACGGAAAGTCACAGAATTATGGAGATGTGGTTGGAAAGGACCTCAGGGGTCAGCTAGTCCTGCTGCCTGCTTGAAGCAGGACTGTTGCCAGCACTAGGTCAGATCAGCCATGGCTTTGCACAGCCAAGTCTGGAAACCTTTCTCTTCAATTAGAGGGTGGCCCTCTCACTTTGAGTCCCTGCTGTCCCCAAGGGTACTCCCGTGTTCCATGGGTCACCTCAGAGCCCTGCTGGCTACCATTGCCATTTCCTCACCACCCCTCCTGACAGTTTCCAGTATTACAGCCTTCCTGGGCAACTGCAACTCAGGCATAAGTTTCCCTTAATCAGAGTGCCCCAGTTAACCTGTACTACGATTCTAGAGCACGAATTTTACTTTTTGCCTGCATCATGGAGTTCTGTGCTATCTTGTGGGTTTTCTTGTGGTCCCAAAACTGAAAATCAGAGCTCAGGTATTCTGTAATACAGAAGAGCAGGATGGTGACTGCCTGTGAATGAGGCATTTACAGCTTTACATGCCATAAGCTTTCTTTTCTATCACCTGCAGCTGACAACATTTGATCTGAAGTTTGAATTTGGCCCAACATGCCAATAGAATATATCAAAATAGGCTTTGGTTAACACTGAAAATGCGATGCCAGAAAGCAGTCAGGATCCTGGGTAACACCAGAAAGAGAGCTCTGTCTGACCTTGATTTGTGGAATTTAATGCACATTAGTGAACATTATCTCACGAAGTTTAGCTTATCTTTTTGCTTTCCAAATTTGTAGTGCCAGTTCTACCCAAAGTGTTGGCCAAACCCGAGAACCTATCTGCGTCTTTCATTGTTCAGGAAGGTAACATCACTGGTCATTTTTCCTGGAAGATATCTAAGGCAGACCTTCACCAGCCCATGACAGGGTTTCAAGTCACTTGGGCAGAAGTAACCACAGAAAGCCGGCAGAACAGCTTACCCAACAGCATCATTTCACAGTCGCAGATACTGCCAGCGGTACGTTGTTTGTTACTTTGTTTTGGTAGCAGCTTCATAAGTGTGTGCGTACATGGCCTGTTTTTAATGTTCAGTGGTGATGAAGATGCCACACAGCATTCTCAGCTCTGCAGGCAAGTTGGAGCAGGAAGTGCTTAATTTTTCCTTCTTGCTGGAGATACAAGGCACAGCTACTCTTCTTGATGACACATCAAACATTTTAATGTGCACAATTGTCAAATTATCAACCATTGTCTGAGAAATGCCTAAAGGGAGGAAAAAATCATCTGCGTGGCAAGATAGTTTTCATTTTCTTTTGATGATCAGAGTGTTCAACTTGGTGGTTACTATAGTTTTACTAATTATTTGGTGTCCAAGTCAATGGATTTAAGAGAATTTTCTATTCCTTTGAGTCACTCATTGCTCTAAGAAAAATAAAAATCACTTCCCTCTCTGCCAATACACACCATTGGCCGATGGACAAATAATTTAAAGGGCATCTAGATTTCACTGTTTATTGAAAGTGTGGGAATTAACAATGTTAATTCTTCCTCCTATTTACTTTAAGATGGCCTTTGCTATTTCAGTTCCTCCTCTGGCAGAGGCAGGTGAAGAGCACTTTGTTCAGACTCTGCTGTCAGGTCCACCAGAGTGAACAAAGGGCCTTAAGCCGCAGGCCTTGTTCCAAAGTCTGCTGTCAAAGTTGGGAGTCTTTCCATTCCCTTCAGGGAAGTGGATCAAGGTGGTTGTGTCTAGAGCCGAACTGGCTGAAAATCTTTTCACAACATCTGTTTCGTCAAAGAATATGTAAAAATGTTTTGTTGGACACATCTTACATCCAACGTATTTTCCACAAACCTAAGGCAAGGTTCTCACCATTCTGTCTTAATTCCTAGCAGTCTGCCCTAGGGCTAGGGCACCCGTGTTTCAAAGTGTGCTGTTTTGGGGAGAGCAACAGAGTTGACTGTGGATGCTCTAAAGTTATGGGGCAAGCTACCATGCAGTGTGCGGAGCTGTTTTGTTACAGCTTAGTACAGACTCGGTGTGATTCACTCAAAGCTCAACCTACAGTCCAAAGTGGGAGCACAGTCCAGATACAGCCTTGGTCTCCTCAGCAAGGGTTTCCTTGAAGTGGTTGTTCTGTGGCTGTAAACAACCACTTTAGCACAATAATAAGCAAAGTTACGGACCATGAAATGTTGATTTTCACTTTGGTTTTCATCTCTTTTTTTAGGAGCATGTATTATATTCAGAATTTCTATTAATTTTTTTAAGCTTTTGGTCCAGTTAGGTCTGAAATATATGAAGTTTTATTTAAAATACTCCTTTGCATTGTGATATGCTTTATTTTTTTATCTTTGTTTTCCTCTGGTTTCAGGTGGAACCTGAAGATTCCTTTTATTTAGTTATCTATCATTATGTGTATCTATCTATTTATGGCAACGGGTTAACTTGCAGAAAACTCTGATTTGAGTTGAAACAGTATCTCCTACCTCTCAGAAACCACCAGAATGTAGGGTATTTTATAGTGAGGATCATTCATTCATTCTTGTTGGTAGCCTCTGACTGATAAAAATTTAATTTTTATACAATCAGGGCTGAAATGCACAGGTCCCAGCTGCCAGAGGAGCACCTGGATGAGCGGAGTGTATGAGTGTGATATATGCACTCCTCTCTCTCTCCTACATGTTCAGCATTTTATAAGAGGTGGGACAGCTTCAGCAAGGTCTGTTAAGAGCAGCCCCATCTCAGAATACACAGTAATTTGGCAGTAAAACTACTCATTTCCTTCCACCTCTCTTCTTTCCCCTTTACTGTCTGCTCTGGCAGTAACAGCAGTTCATCGATTATCCCCACAGCCTGTTTAGGTCTCCCTGCATGGTGCTGGATATAGTGCTGGCCAGAACTTGCCCTGCAAATTCCTTGCCAGCCCAGCCCGGCTGGTCGCAGGAGCATGCCGTGCCTGCACTGTCCAGTGTCACTCTGTCCCTTTCCTGGCACTGGGCCTTTTCAGCTTGGAATAAGATGAATCAGGACTGTTTATTCCTTGATACCCTTTAGTCTTTAGCCAGAAGTATTCGCATTTGGAAGAATTTATAAACTTATTCTGAAATAATTTTGCACAGGTGTAAGTGACCATGAAAGGTATGGAGCAGTGAGAAGTGAGTCCATCATGCCAGAAATGGGACTGAGAACAAAGGCAAATTCTTATGGTGTAATTGGGACAAATCAGGTGAAATCAGTGTAGCCACACATACTTTTGCTAGGTGCAGCAGGGGTCTCAGGCCTGCCAGTAATTAGTTTACCAATTAGTAGAATTCACAGGCAGATCTAGAATAATTGTATAATGAATATGTTTGTTAAAAGAGTTGTTAGGAAGTGATTTTTTTTGTTTCTTTGTTTGTTTTTATTGACGAGCACATCATCAATTTTCTAGAACACTGAGGAACAGTATGGACCTCTTACACATGAAACCGTAACATTATGGTAAAAAAAGTCTACTCAGAGGGAATGACAAGCAAAAAATTCAGAAAAACGCTCTCAACAAAGGGATGCATACCTTAAATCCTTTTAACAGAATTCTAAGAAAATAATTTGTGCATGCTGAGAGTGACAGAACCTGTTTAAACCCATGATTTGTGTGAGTAGAGCAAACATGTTTGATTTCTAGATAATCTGAGAATTAATGCAATTTATCTGGTTTTAGGATCATTATGTACTCACCGTGCCCAACCTGAGGCCATCGATGCTGTACCGCTTGGAAGTTCAAGTGCTGACAACTGGTGGGGAAGGGCCAGCTACGATAAAATTGTTCCGAACACCCGACCTTCCTCCATTTTCACCCCTCAGTAAGCACTACACCATTCTGATGTGTGGTTACGTGTTACAAAACTTCGGTCCTCCACATGTAAAGTGTTTGCTTGAGCCTTAGAGTCTTTATTATATAGAGACTTATTATTATAAATATTGTAAGAGAATGCTTATCTGGTAGCATTCCATGAACTTAACATGTGTGAAAATATTTGGCTTCCCCCTCCCCAACTGTCCATCAGCAATGATGGAAGCAAATGCAGTCTTTCTTTCACTCAGTTCTTGTGGTCTGACATTTGCCATTCATTGCACCACAGAACTTTGGCTTATGCCTATAGCACTTGGGATTCAAAGTTGGTCTCTCCTTAATGTACTACCTAGGCGTGGGATTCTTTAGCTTTCAAGATTTGATTTTTCTGGGGACATTCAGTCCAGCATGGATAGATCCTGATCGTATTTCCAAAGCAGTGCAAATCTTTTAATGGACATTTCCAACATTTTATATGTTTCTGAAGAAAGTACAGCTCTGTGTTGCGAAGCCCAGTAGAAAATATAATGAATTAGTCCGAGATTCATCTGCTTGAATCTTTTTGCCCTTTCACAGTCCCACTGAAGTTGTCTGGACTGAACACGCGCATAGTTGTCAGCACAGGCAGTTCACTTATAAACTGAAAGCCTTAAAATAAGCCTTTTTAGTATGGATAAACGTTGGTATTACATATTCAGGGCTTGATATGTGCGTTTTTCCTGTTCTTTTGTTTAGGACCTCATCTGAAGCAACACCATCCACACCACTACAAGCCACCCCCAGAGAAATATTAGACTGTTTCAGATGATTATACAAATAACTGAGAGAAAAACTGAGCTCCCAAACGAGGGCTGGGAAAAGGCACATCTGTAGGAGCAATGAACCCAATTTTCCAGTGGAAGTTACCCCCCTGTACTATCTATGTCTACTTCCCTGTAGTTTAGCCATGAAGAATTATATTTGCACCAAGACCAGGATGAAACATACAGCAAGTATCATTTCAGTACCATTATTATTCAACCAACTGAAGATCGCATCCAACTCAACACCTGTGAGAAAATCGAAAGTGTGTTCATTATAATGGTTTTGTATTTCTGTGTTTAAAGTAGATTGAAACAGTGCAGCGTATACAGCTTTTTCTCTTAGTGACTTCAATGTTAATATTTGCAAGATTGTCCTGTGATGTATGCATAGTTTTGAACACTGGAGGCCATCTTCTCATCAGCGTGTTTATATGATCTATTTTACTCAAAGCTCTGCCTGTCACCAGTTTAAGCCCTAGTGTATTTTGCTATTAAAGAAGGTCTCCGTATGTCTGAAATAAGGACATAAGTAAAATAAATACCAGTAGCTGAAACCTCAAAATAGTCAGTATTTAATAATTGCAGTATCACCACAGAGGAGGGAGATGATACATTTGTATCACCCATCTGTTCCGAAGTGGTGACATTTTAGCATGTAGATCTTCTATTAATGTAGTTAATAGCTAAAAAATATCAGGATAGTTGTACCATTGTAAAGAAACAAATGGCAATTAATAGAATTGTTGAAAATTAATGACAATTAATACATTTAATTGATAAGTCCTGAAAGAATTAATTTTAAAATCCCACTTACAATTTCTTTGTGTGTAATATTTCAAGGTATAATGATATATTGAAAAGAAACACCAATTTTCCAGTTAAAAATCTGAATAGATAACATTTTAGAAACTGAAATTCTGAGGTGGATTTATTATTCAAGTAGCCATAGAGCTACTTTTTGGCTCTGAATTTTGATACACATATTTCTTTTCCCCATGGATCTTCTGAAGAGAAGGATGGATGTATTGACTCTATTCTGCTGCTCTGCTTACAGAAAGCATTTTCTGACAATATTCTGGCATCTGGAAAACATTGGCGTACAGTTTATTTGAATGCATTTTTCAAATTTAGACAGAAGGGTGCCCTTTTTAACCATAAGGGAATTCGTATTGCCTTATTGTGCAATATAAACTGTCTAGAATAATTTACCACACAGAGAGACATACCTCGGTAGTAAACAGAAACTACTTGGATTTATTATCAAGAGGGTGGAAGGTATCTGCCAGTAAACGTCCACAGAAATACTCATAGTCAGCTTCTAATGTTCAAGATGTTCAAAGTGCTCCTGTATTCTTTGGGACCATTTCCATTGCTCCCTGAGCCATCATATGAGGCTAACGTACCTCAAACACTCAGGAGTCAAACCCGAGAAGATGGCCACTTTTTTTCTATCCGCAGATGCTACAGACTCATCTGTACTTCATATTTGCCTGAGATATTCAGTGAGGGGAGCCCAGATGTTAGTGGTAAATATATTTTCCTTCTCTTGATGACAAACTGTTTTGTGGAAAAACAAAAATGAAGAAAAGAAATACATACCTGAAACTGAGGATCAGAGTTGTGTTTATCATAGTAGAGCATTCACAAAATATTCAAATACAGTTTGTCTGTGCTGAATTTTATAGCTTTTTGTTTCATGTGGTTTGATTACACAGGGGGTGAAGGAAACTGGGTTAGTTTTGAATCATTTGCTCATTCCAGTTTTCCTACATTTCTACCTTTGGTTTTAAAGGGCTGTTTTTTTTCCATTCTATTTCTAATTTGCTTATTGTCTTTTTGATATGCTTTCAGTGACCAAGAACTTTCCAGACATTTTCTGTTGCTACATGGATTGGGCCTTTAACAGTAGTTTTAAAAATATTAAAGGCTATGGTGCTTTTAATTCCTTCCTCTATCATTCTGACATCTCCCCTTTTCCAAAATACATTAGCAAATAAACAGATGAACTCTTCTTCATAAAATCTGTGCTATAAAGGTTTCTTTTAAATTTTGGCAGAAGGCCAGAGTCTCAGACATTTTTGTCAGGATGGAAATGTTTTGTGCGTATGAGTCTTTACAAAGAAAACACAATTTGAATCGTCCTGGAGTGCAGCACTGCTTTGACGTTTAGATTGCACAGAGCATAGGTAAGGCTAGAAGTGATCTCTGTGGTGTTTGCTGAGAGCAGGAGTCAGTGCGATCAGGGAAAGTAATTTACCTCAGGCTTCTCTGAAAAATTCTGTCCAACCTTTCAATCACAGTCTATTCTAGTTATGCTGGAGCAAATCTGCAGTGACTTGATCAATGTTAATGAAATCATGTTTCATACATAGTGACATGGTAAAGTGTAGAATATGGATGTCGGTCATTGTTACAATGATGTAAAATCTGGCTTGGAGATGGACTGGAAGTTAACAGCCCTGAGTGATCATACCCTTAGTCTTGCTTGTGAGGGGAAGCCTCGTTCTTCTGAAATGAATCAAAATGGTTACTGTTTGCTAATGCCCATCTCTTTGAAGCATTCAAATTTAAAAGTAACAATGTACTTTTGAAGAACATGGAGGGGTTTTCACTTCTAAAGTAGGTTAAAATTTAAAGAAAGTTGGTAAAGGAAAATTGTATTGAACAAGTGTATTATATAGAGTCCAGTAAGATCTGAATTATTTTTTTCCTTCTACAAATGAGCTTGTCAACTCACCTTTCAAGTCACCCTCCAAATAAAAAATGAAAAATACAAGGTTACAAAGCTCATGCAGGGATGTTAACTTCCTAGCTAAGAGTGATTTCCTGATTATTCTTTGAATTTAGCAGTACAGCTTTGAAGTTGTTAGTGCCTAATTCATAAAGCCTTGTTTGCTGAATTGTACAGGGTATTGTCCTAATTTACTAGTCTAAGTCACATTAAACACACAAATCAGCAATAGAGTTGCAATTCACTATTTGATTCACTAGTTAAAGCTTTATTTTCTCTAATGATGTTATGTAATACAGAGTTAATGTAGATATTGGGATGTTTTTAGATACGCTGCACCTTTACACTAATGTGTTATTTGCTGTGTACGATTCTGATGGATTTGTCAGTTGACTTCAGGATGCATTTTGTTTGTCCTTATTTCTTAAAGGAGAATTATAAGATTATGCCATTTTGCTAACTGCTTTGTGAAGTGGATTTTTTGTTTGTTCATTGGTGATTTTTGTTTAAGAAGAGAATGGCTTGTTCTTATTATATGGTTTTTTGACAATTTTTGAGTTGTTTATAGAGCAGGAGAAATTAAAATAAGACAGAGTTTGTGCTTTATCATCTATGTGTAACATGAATATTAATTAAGAATATAGCATATAGGCAATAAATAAGAGGTCTGACTTCTGAAATGCTGAGTATCTTCAACTTAGTGGCTTCAGAAAGAGCTGAGGACGTGGTGTGGCAATGCTAACATTGACATTAGGGTTTGGCATGGTCACACACAAAGTCAAAGAAATACGCATTGCTATTATGAATGGGAATTTTACCATTGGTATTAGCTGAACTATATAGAATCCTTAATGCAGAGTCAATTTATTCCACAATACTTTCATCTCCATGCTCCCAACTAGAGTCAGGGAGAGTTTCAGATAAGCAGGCCCTGATTCCGTAAGGTACACAGAAGAGGGAACATCCATATGCACAAATGAAATCAGTGGGATGGGAGTAAACCTGTGCAGTTAGGAATGAGCTTTAGTGATGCCTCGAATAAAACATGGATGTCAAAATTTGCTTGAATATTGTCTTAAATCAGGGCCTTATAGAACAAAGTGCAGGACCCAGACAGTTCTAAATTCTGTGTACAACACCATTAAAAAAATTATTTTTGTCTTGTGTATATGTAAATGTAGTTGTGATATTGACTTATTTATTAATTAATTTTCTTATACTATGTGCCAAGTATATTCCTACCCTTTTGATCAGTACCTGTGAACATCAGTTACTAAAACTAGTTATGCAAACTTGTGCATTGTAACCAGGAATATGATGCTAATAAGCTGTTGCATGTAGTTTTAAATAATTAAGAAAACCCTTTATTTAAAAAAATGTAAATTAATACCTGCAGATGTTGATGATTATATATGGTTTTGCATGCCAAAACTCATTGTTCAGTTGTGGGCATGAAATGTAACGACTGTATAACCTCTACTGAATATATTAGTAAGGTACAATTTACAAAGTAATTAACAGAGCTCTATATGTAAAATTTTTCCTTTTTACTTAATTATATTGTAGTAGAGGTAACAGAACTGCTTCTCTGTTACACAAATTGGCTGTAGAAATTATGTTCCTATAACACTCATTTAAAGTCAGTATTTATTTATGTATGTAATACAAAAAGATTGGTCTTATGTGTTTGTCCTGTTATTTAGAGAAAAAAAATACACTTCTTGTAAAAACAATTTGTAAAAAAATGTAAATGTAAATAGAGTCTGATTTCTTTTACTCATGATTTTCATGTTTAGAATTTGTACATACTGTTTAGGTAATAAACTATCCTACATCAAAATCTTGCTACATTATCTCCTCCATACAGAATTTATAGTTTTGTTTTTTTCTTAAGCAAAAAACATAGTCATCTAAGAAAAATCAGTGTCACGCCAAGTACCTTTGCTACATCTAAAGCTCATTGAGTATAAAGTCACACTATTTTATCTTCCATTTACTATAGTACTTTGGGTTTTTTTTAGAAAGTGATCAAAATAATCTGAAAATAAATTTAGCTATCTAAATACTTTTACTAAAGTCTTTTACTTTGAAAAGCAATCCTTGAAGTAAAAAATCAGACTCAAGAACTTGCCATCCCTTTCTCTGTTTTAATGGGGTAGTTCACAGTGAAGATTTGTTCACCCTTTGCAATGCTGACTTAAAATAATTAAAATGTTGCTGGATCTATGTCAGTGGCCTAATCCTGCAAGTCAAGATTTTGATAACTGACACTTATGGTGAAATCTGTGTATACACCAGATTTGGAGTATTTTCTATTTTAAACTGCAGTATCACGTGATTTCAATTCTGTATTTTTAATAAATGTAACTTATTTGTCTTAGTACGAACATTTAACTGTTTCAAATTGTCATAGATGTGCTGTCATTCTCAGATGCAATATCTAGTTTGGGGATGCGCCTTTGACTTACTCTTCAC